ACACACACACAGGGGCTCATCTGAGACCCAAGGCAATCTCTTACTTGTAACCCTTGTAAAATCAAAAAGCAAATTACAAACAGAACAGGGCTGGATCGATGGCTCAGCAATTAAGAGCACTGGCTGCTGCTCTTGCAGAGGACCTGAATCTGGTTTCCAGCATGCACATGGCAGCGCATGAACATCTGTATCTCCGTTCCTAAGGAATCTGATGAGGCTTTACCCTGGATTCCAAGGCCACCATGCATGCATGTGCTGCACAGACACACATGCAGACAAAATACCCATACACACACACACACAAAAAAAAAAGCTTAAGAAAAACAAATATGTACTACAAACAAGGATGGCTCACAGCACTACTCCCCAACTTCATTTACCAAAGGGTTTGGGAAAAGGCAAAGAAAAAGCCTGCTCACAATCATAGAGGAAGGCATATTACGAGTTGTTTACATATGAGAAAACAGAACCACAAAAGACAGCATTTTTTCTTTCCTTTTTGGATTTTTAAAAAAGACTGTGTGTGTATGTGTGTATGCACACTTGAGGTCACATGTCGGTGGAAGCCAGAAAGCTTTCAATCCTCTGGAGCTCTAGTTACAGGTGGTTGTTAAAGAGCCTGACATGGGTGCTGGGAACCCAACTGTGACCGTCTGCCATGTCTTCAGCCCCTCTTCTTTGGGTTTTGAGACTGATCTCATGATGTAGCAAAGGCTGGTCTGCATGCGGTCTTAAACCATCCTGCCTCAGACTAGAGTGCAAGGATGAAGTAAGTGTGTGATGAGCCACCACAACAGACTATAAATGTACTTACTAATTACTGAAATATCAAAGTTTTTCTAAAGTGAAAATACAACTAGCATGTAACACGACTCCAATACATCTATGGTGTTTGGGGATCTTTTAAAAAAAAAAGAATAAAGATGTATCACTTTTAACAAAGACAACCTATTAAAAATGAAAGAAGTATACTAACTAGAAAGAAGACCCTCAGCTGATGGAACAAGGCTGGGGCGTTAGCTCAGTGGATCAAGTGTTTGCTCTGCCCCAGCACAAGCACCTGAATCTGAGTACCAGCACCCATGTAAAAGCTTGGGTAGTAGCACACATCTGTATTTCAAATGCTGGGAGGCAGAAACAAGTGGATCCCTGGGGCTTTATCACTGGCTAGCCAGTCTAGCCAATTACCAGGCTCCAGGACCAGGGAGCAACGGAAGAAGACGGTATGACAGAATGAACCTGTGGTGGCCACAGGAGCTGCACAGATGAGTACACACACAGGCATACACCACACACAAAATACTATTTAAAATTTTTAAAAAATCCAATAGAAAGCAAAAATGTATGATAAAAAAAATTATCAAAACCTTTATTCAGAACTTTAAAACAAAGACTTTCTTGTTTCAACATATCTATATAATTACAGACCAAATATGCAGATATAAAATGAAAATTCATAATGTATCACTAGTTAAACTTAAATTCTGACTAATTAGAGTAAATAATCCAAACAGCCATTCTGAAAACTGGAATTAAAAACACTTTAAGAGCAATTATGTTTAAGTGTGCTTAGGCATTTAATGACTGTTCAAATCATCTAAAGTAGATGAATACATGTTTTAACAGGTTAAAAAATTATAAATATTTTAACTTTATCCAATAACCTACTTATCTGTTATCTACTCTAACAGAATTAAGAATATTTGCTCTTACTAATTTATAAATTAGCTCAATATTCAAAATGCAGTGGTATAATTCATTTTAACCCCATATATCTGTAATGTGTGTGTGTGTGTGTGTGTGTGTGTGTGTGTGTGTATGTATGTGTACACGTACATGTACTATATACAAATATTCTACAAAGGAAGTCTATTTATGCTGTATACATCCAGCTCAAGAATAAATTTTATGCAACATATAACACACATAACACATAGCTTTTTCCCCATGTGCTTTTAAAGAGCCCCAGATAAACTCATAATAAACAATGGTTAAATAACTAACGGGACAACAGAGTATCTCCAGGAAAAGTTTTAGTAATAGACCTAATGCCAGAGCATAAGCTTTTGATAGTGCAGGCAAATTCCTAAACTTAAAAAAATGGGAATAAGCAGCTGAGAATGGGGCTGGAGAGATGGCTCAGGTTAAGAGCAGCGTCTGTTCTTCCAGAGGGCTCACAACCACCTATGAGATCTGGTGCCCTCTTCTGGCATGCATGTATGCAGGCAGAACATTGTATACATAATAAATAAATAAATAAATATATCTTAAAAGAAAAAAAAAAAAAGCGGAGATTGGCAGTGCACACATTTAACATCAAAGGAACAAAGAGGCAGTGGATCTCTGTGAATTCAAGGCCAGCCAGGGCTGCACAGTAAGACCCCGTCTCAAACCCCAGCTCCCCAAAAAAATCAGGTTATTTGTGGTCTAAAAACATACAATTAAAACCTCTTCACGTAACACCTCCCAATAAACAGGAATCTTATTAACAGAAACCCAATTCACTGTATTTCACACTGTTGTCACATGCTTCAAATTACTAGTGCCAAATGCAATACTCAATGAGTCAACTCCACAAATGCATCATTCCTTCAGTAAACAAAGTTCTAAATTAGAACTTAATGACTAATAGGAAGCACAGCAACACTTTCAAAGTAATCACATTCACTTAGTGTTCCTGGTTTTCAATATTTTACAAAAGATTAAAAATGCTTATAGTTATTGACAGGAAGGGGGACTCACACTTTAAAATAAACCTCTTAAGTATAAATAAGTCTTCACCAAATATCAAAATAATACCAAATAAAGAAAAGAAACATTCAAATATTTCTTGATAAATGAATGTTGCTGCTATCTTGATAAATGCATGCATAAAAGTATGACTATCCCTGAAACTCATAAAATCGGTTCAAGTTTTTTTTTTTCAATGAAAACTGTAAACATTTAAAATATTTATGAACCAAAATTTGGCAAGCACAGCTAGGTGGTGGTGGTGCACATCTTTAATCCCAGCACTCAGGAGGCAGAGGCAGGTTGACCTCTGTGAGTTCAAGGCCAGCCTGGTCTACAAATAAAGACAACCAGAGCTCTTACACAGAGAAACCCCATGGAGGGTGCACCAAGCACTAGAGATACAATAGTCAATTATCAACCAGATATAGTAAAACTTAAAGAAATAACATCTAAAATTAAATCTTTAAAATATTATTATGTGCATACCCATTAAATCCAGTGACAATTTTCAGTATTCTTTCCTTCATTTCATCAAAGGGAATATATTCAACATTAGGATTGGGAGGACCTCTTGGTTCAGGAGCTGAAGTTCTGAAATCATCCATCACTTTCTCCAGTTTGAAAATAAAATAACCTTTAAATTGGGACCACTGAATCCTATAAAGAAAAAAGTCAGAAAACATTAACAATTACTCTTTCAATTACTTAACACAAACAAAGACACTAAAGATGCTCATAATTTCCACAATAATGCTTATGTGGACTAGGAAAGTCTCTTACCATTAAAAGTACAGAGTAAGTTACGTTTGGTGGCATATACCTTTAATTCCAGCACTTGGGAGACTGAGTGTTTTAGTTAGGGTTTATACTGCTGAGAAGAGACATCATGACCATGCCAACTCTTATAAAGAAAACCATTTAAGTGTAGTGGTTCATGTACTGTTCAGAGATTCAGTCTATTATTATCATGGAAGGAAACAAGGCAGCATGCAGGCAGGAGTGGTCTGAGACACTGTGTGTGGCTTGAGTATATATAAGGTCTCAAAGCCTGCCTCCAGTGACACACTTCCTCCAAGGCCATACCTCCTAATGATGCCACTCCCTACGAGCTTATGGGGGAAAATTACAAACTACCAAACTGAGGCAGAAGGATCTCTGTGAGTTTAAGGCCAGTCCTGTCTACAAAGTAAGTTCCAGGACGATCAGGAACCACACAGTGAGATCTTGTCCCCCAAAACAAACAAACAAACAAACAAATAATAAATAAATAAATAAATAAGTTCTTTTCCTCCCTCCCTTTTCAGTCATAGTTATTTGAGGTATTCAGGGTACTGGTCCCAGCCTATCTGACATAGCAAAAAAAGTACACATATGCCTGGGCTAGAAGATGGCACAATGTTTAAGGCACACAGAGTTCAAGCATGAAGGCAAAACCTTGGATTCCCAGAATCAAGTACCAGGTGGGTATGGTAGCCTATGTATAATTCTAGCACTTAGAAGGTAAAGATGAGAATCCATGAAGATGACTGGCCAGCCAGCCAAATTGTATCAGCAAGCCCTGGGTTCAACAAAAAACTTGACTCCAGTCAACAAATACAGTGGAGAAAGAAATCATAAATTCCAACATCATCCTTTGACTACAAAAATGAAGATACACATACACACAGGCATACAAACATGCACATATGCATAAGGAAAAATATACAAGTACCCCATTTATATTTTATCTCTATTCATTGCTGGGTAGTAATTTCCTCCAAGATAAAACGCTGACATTGACCAGCTCACTGCAACCCATCTTCCCCAAACATATAAGGAGTAAGAACTGCTGACATTTTTTTTAAGTGGGTATTTTGTCTAAATGCTTTCTTGTGCACCCTCTGGGTGCCTGGTGCCCAAGGAGGCTACAAGAGTGTGTCAGGTCTTCTGAAACTGCAGTTGCAGGCAGTTGTGAGTTGCCATATGAGTGCTGGGAATCAAAACCCAGGCCCTCTGAAAGAACAAGTGCTCTTAACCACTGAGCCATCTCTCTGACTCCCTCCCACCCACTCTTAGGCAAGCTAAATAGCCTAGATGCTCAGACCAGCTACATTGCACTGCCTGGAAGACACATTCTCTGACCTGCTCAGCTGCTTACAAGCGACTCAGTGTGTTCTGTATTTCCAGCTATTGTAACCTGCCAGGCACTCTGCGTTTGGCTTTTGATGGTAAAACTGCCTCAGAGTCACTTCTGCTCTTGTAGTTAACACTTCATCTATGCTTCAACTAACAGCAGTATTTGAACAGGAATGACTCCATACATAGGCTCATATATTTGAATGCTTGGACATTAGGGAGTGGCACTACTTGATGGATTAGGAGGTGTGGCCTTGGTGTTGGAGGAAGTGTGTCACTGGGGTTGGGCTTCGGGGTTTCAAACATTCAAGCCAAGCCCAGTGTCTCTCTCTTCCTGCTGCCTGTGGATCATGATACAGATACTGTATCCTGCCATGATACAGATACTCTCAGCTCCTTCTCCAGCACCCTGTCTGCCTGCATGCTGCCCCACTTCTTGCCATGCTGATAACGATCTAAACCTTTAAACCTGCAGTTTTCCACCTGTGGGTGGCAACCCCTTGGGGGTGTCAAATGACACTTTCATAGGGGTAGCCTAAGACCAGAGAAATTAATTACATTACAATTCATAACAGGAGCAAAATTACAGTTATAAAATAGCCAAAATAATTTTATGGTTGGGGTCACTACAACATGAGGAGCACAGCATTAGGAAGGTTGTGGACCACTGCCTAAAATGTAAGCAAGCCCCAATTAAATGCTTTTCTTTTAAGAGTTGTTGTGGTCATGGTGTCTCTTCACAGCAACAGAACATTGACTGAAACCAGTAAATATAAACTGAGCCAGTGGTTCACCAAGTTGGACTTTGGTGATAGCCTTACTTTAGTCTGACAATGGTTCCTGATTAAGGGTGAGTAGAGGTTTGTTCGTGTCTCCCCGGGAATAGTACCAGACCTCTTAATCCTTTCTTCACATTTTACCATTAATATAAGAAAAAGTGTGAAGGTGATACCTGAACAAACAGTCTCAATTCTAGGAGATACAAAAGTTAGTTAGGGATGTCACCTATTTTTTTGTGCAGAGTACTCTCATGTACGTTCATTAAACACAATTACAGAAAACAGAGTATTAATTTGCTATATATGACTGTCTAGCAGGAGGGCTCCAGGACAAATCAGAATAGGCTGGACTTAAACGGATAAAGCCAGCAATACAAGAAAAAAAAAAAGTTAACAAAGGGAATTTCCCATACTCAGCAATGCTGGCATTGAGGACCACAAAATCCTGTCTTGTGGCAAGCTACCCTAGGTGCTTTAAGTTTTCTGCAGCATGGTCAACCACTATCCATGTGTGCCAGGGACAATGGCCACTACTCAGAAGTAACAATCAACAAAAGTACCTCCCAGACATTGCTAAATGAACTGCCACCAGTTAAGAACCACTACAACCCTAATCCCTTCTGCTGAGGACTACAATAAAAAAAAAAAGAGCCGGGCGGTGGTCGCGCACGCCTTTAATCCCAGCACTCGGGAGGCAGAG